GGAAAATAAATGTTTCTTCTTAGTACTTTGACCTTAAAATACCACAAACACCATCCATCTTCTTGTGTTATTTGTGTTATTTTCAAATTGAATCACTCAGCACATCAGGTCAAAAAGTCAGAGGCCACCATTTCTTTTCCCTGCTAGCAGGATAGAAAGCTTTGATAGGGACAAGTGTTTGCTGATTTTTTTAAAAATGTAATTTTAGGCTGTGGTAAGCACCAAGACTTTAATTTCTGTCTAAAGTATTTAAAATGATAACATTATTTTTTTATGGAAAATACCATTTTCCACCCATGTTAATAATCAAATTGCTTCTGTTTTCTAGACAGAGAAAAAGTTGGGTTTGCAGTCTGTTTTTACTAAAAATCTGATTTGTTGGTCCTATTCTTTTCTCACTGATAAGAGTAGGCAAAACTCCCTTCCCTGCCAGGAGGGGCATGTCTAGGTCCATTTCTTTCATAACAGGGCTGACAAAGATCTCGGGCTTTGGTCCAAGAGCAGTATCTTCTGGGGTCACTTCAAGTTCTGCCTGGTTTTAAAATTCAGCAATAAATGTCATGTCATTATTTCCAGATAATGAAGAGTTATTGTGTCTGAGGGACCACTGTGGAGCTGTCAGCGTTGGCAGTATGTAGCACAGGTCTGCGCTGAAGGCGGGTCTGCAGACTCGTCCCCGTGCTCATCGGCCGGTAAAGGGAGGCAACACCATGTAGAGTGATGCTGTTAGGCCTAGGGGAGATCTTGCACTTTCGTACCACTGTGAAAGTCAGGAGATGCTTTCTTTCTCTCTATTTCCTTTCCTTTTCCTTTTTTTTTAACATTTGGATGAAACTAGTGTTTGAAAAAAATTCACAAGCAAGTAAAAGAGCAAGAGCTACTCCAGAGTAGTCAATGGCCAGTTGTTGGCGTTTGCTGGGGACAAGTGTATTTCAGGTTATGCAAGTTATACATTTGATCAGGTTAAATAAAGACTGAGTATGAGACTCCTCAGCTCTCTCTTGGTCTCCTTTTCTGTGTCATAGAATCATTAAAGTTGGAAAAGACCTCTGAGATCATCGAGTCCAACCGTCAACCCAACACCACCATGCCCACTAAACCATGTCCCTAAGCGCCTCATCTACACGTCTTTTTAATACTTCCAGGGATGGTGACTCAACCACTTCCCTGGGCAGCCTGTTCCAATGTTTAACCACTCTTTCAGTAAAGAAAGTTTTCCTCACGTCCAATCTAAACCTCCCCTGGCGCAACTTGGGGCCATTTCCTCTCATCCTATCACTAGTGTCCCTCCCTCTCTCTCTGCTCCTCAGCTTAGAAAACATTCCCAATAAGAGTTCAATCGAAACAGCACTCTCCCATGGAGTTTTAGTTCAGATGAAAATGCTTTTGCTGATAAATTCCTTGAAATTCCAGAAATGTGAAGTGATTTTACCTCAAGGGTAATTTGTTATAGACATGTTGCCCATTAATTGAGATAATCTCCAACAATGATGATAAACAGAGATGATCAGGGATTGTACTTTAAAATGCCATTCGGACTAGAAGAGCAATTTGGGATCCACTTACGTCTCAGTAATGAAAATTGGGTAAGGTAATAAGAGATTTCATTTTGTGAGTGAATTGACAATGCAAATACCAGGATTTTTAATTTAGGTTTAAGTGGAGTAATGGCTACTCATTCTGATGCATCATTAGTCATATTGCTTTTTAATGAGGAATTCACTTTCTTTTCCTGGTTAGCTCTAACACTGATAGCAAAGCCCAATGAATGTGTAAATGTTTAGGGAGGTCTGATGAATACATGTCACTGCACCATTTTAATTTAAAAAAGGAAGAAAAAGCAGTTTTCCTTCTATGGTGAAGAAATACATGTTTGCTTTTAGTGCAAGGAAAATAAATAGTGCAGAACGGTGATTGGTAGGCTGTTGTAAAAATACTTAGAGTAAGATACATTTTGAAACAAATTCTAGAAAATGTAGAGGGCAAATTGCCTTGAGTGGTGTTCTGGTGAAAGGGACTGGCTTTATGCCTGGCAGCGGTAGGAAAAAGTGGTTCTTTGGCCATCTCCAACACAGATGTGTTATAAATAATGGCAGATGAAGATTCTTCTTGCCCTACCAAACCCACCGCATGCCCCAAACACCTCATTCCTCTTCTGGACAGATCTCTGTTTAGCATTTTTGTTTCTTAGATGGCTTTTCTTTTTCTTTTCCTTTTTTTTTTTTTTCCTTTTTCCTTTCTTTAATTAAGAGCTTGTTTTGATGTTCATTGAACTTAGTGGGAATCTTTCCATCAAATTGAATGCATTAGGTCAGATTCATAATCAGCAGTCACTGAAACAACCTAACAATAGTTTTGTCACACACAAGTGCACTGTCTTAAATGGGATTTGCTTAAAAAAAGCAATAGAACTAATCCATTATAAACACTTGTTAGAGCAGAGTTTTGACTGTATCTGTATATTTACCAACACGATTTCAACCAATTTAAGCCAAATTGAAATTAATGCAGACTCTTGCTCCAGGCAGGAGCATAGGGCAGTTAAATTAAATCAATTTAAAATAGCATATTTTTAGCCACAGCAGTATGGTATTGTGTGTTGACTAGACTTAGGTCTGGTTGCCTTACTTCGTTTGGTGGGCGAGGCATTTTGACTTTCTATGAGGACAAGCTGTAGTGTGATGAAACACATGCTATGTCTAACGTAGACCAACCCATTCAGATCTGGGGGCAAGAGAACAAGTTTCTGGGATGCAAACGAATGTCCACCAGATCTCTCTTTCTCATGTCTGTTTCTTCACTCCTGGTGCCCCATAAGCATGTGGCATCTTGCAAATCTCAGTGCGGTTTGCGAAAGTCTGAGCAATCCAGGGCCTCTAAACACTGGCGAGGCAATGCATGTCCTTCTGGAGCAGAGCCTTCGAGGAGATCTGTGACCTCGGGGGTCTCCAGCACAAAGCTACAACCTCACATTTTCACTCTGCTGTCTTTTTCTGCTTTTCCCTTGCCCATGCAAGAGCCCATTCGTCACAGATGTCAGGGAAGGGTGCATGAGCTCCTGAGCTGACAAACTAAAGGAGTGGGTAGCAGAGTGTCGGGTCCTCCCCAGGAGGTTGCTGTCCCCCCGTGCACATACAATAGTGAAGAAGAGCTTGCACACAGCAGGGCAGTGGAAGCGTAACCAGCCAGGGTAAAATCCTTTCAGGATAACCACCAAGAGACCCCTATACGTCACATGCCTGGGACAATGCCAGTGAACTAAGAGTCTTCTCATCATCTTCCTTTGTGACCTGCTAACCTTCCTCTGAAAGTATATACCTCCCAGGCATAGTGAAGGAAACTCAGTTTTGCAGCAGTCACTTTTTAGCTTCAGAATGAGTTATCTCCTTCAGATCTTTCTGTCTCTGACTCTCTATTGTGAAATGCAAAAGAAATATAGGCCACGATCTTCTCTGATGCCACCTTGTAAATTCAAGGGAATCCCAGACATCCAATATGCTGAAGTCATTCCGTATCACTTGACTCGATGTGAGGCACAACAGTTCCCAGCAGATTGGGTGATACAGGACTAGCATCCATTTCTCATGATGGCTTTCTTGAAAACTGCCCTTCTCTTCACAGCTTATAAAAGGAAAGTTGATAGGGTGAGCGTGCCAGAATGGTTGTGAAAGCACGGGGTCACACTGGATGTTTTAACCTAAGAAAACAACATTTTGAAATTAAACCAAAGCTGAACATGTCCTAAAACAGGCCATGTAGCTAGAAGAAAATGTTTCTGACACTGATAGAAAATTATGTATCCGCTCTGAATGCACCAATTCTTCTCTGCTAAATGGGAGCAAGAAATGCAAATGAACTTTCCATATTTCCAGAGATCTGTGTACGGCCACAGTCCCCAAAATCTTGGTTATGGTCAGGCCTTTGGGGTTACTGAGGGGTTTTTATATACAGTTGAACTGATTTATGAGATTTCCTGTTAAATTTTATTGCACCAGTGGCTTTTCTTTGGTTCTTTTGAAGTAGAAAACATCATTTCTGCAGCAAATGCAAGTCGAAAGTCTTAATGGAGCATAAAAATCTAAAAGGTTATGATTTTATAGCTTTAAAATAGAGGACAGTGCACTGCTTGATATTCTCAAAAATATGAAAAGTTAATGAGGATGTTTATCGGTAATAAAAAGATATAATCTTCTCCCAGACCTTTGATTTTGGCTACTTGTGTATTGGCTTTTTATGGGTGTACTTTTATAAATGAGAAACTCTTCTCATTCTAGGACCGTCCTGTTTCAGAATCACAGAGAGAGAGAACTAATAACATGAGGCAGAAACTTCGTCCAGAGAGATTATTCAGTACTCTTGACACCCGGTGCTTCTCCCTTTGAGCACAGACTATTGATTGCATTTATCTCGTTTCTAGGGTCATATAGACTACCTTTATTTATTTGACTTTGTTTAAGACCTTTGGGTGCATGCAAATTTATAACCAAGTAAGAAACTGTTCTGTCACACACATTTTGCAAGCTTAGGTGAATCACAGTAGCACTGTTTACAAACTCTCATTGCTTTCCACATGCAGGTGATTGGAATAAGCTATGGTGTTTTAAAAAGAAAAATCTAGAAAATGTCTCCTGGTGGATTTCTTTTGCTGATTTTGATTTAATCTGAAGTCTTACAAATATTTTTTCATTTGCATCTTAACAAATGTTTTTAATGAACATATAGGAACTTAGGTAAAATAAAAATGCCTTCTTGCTGTATCACTTAAAGGAGTAGACCTTGAACGTTCACCTCCAACTGCTTGAAAATGTTTTCTCCAGGTATGGACATGGAAAAAGCATTTTATGACAATATGTTCACTGTCACCGCTGTTGCAGGGAGAAGTAATGGGAACAGGTCATGGGACAGAAGCGGTCATGGGAAAAGCCAATACAGCAGGAGGGGCACAGCTATCCTTCTTCTTGTTAATACGGACTGTCTGTTTTCTGTCGTTGTCTTTGCAGCAGTCCAGCACAGGGGACCTGAGGACTCTGAGGAAAGGGTTGTCCCCGTACCACTCTGAGTCACAGCTCTCTTCACTGCCACAGTATCAAGACGCCCTGCAAAACGTAAGAGACGTTTCCTTACCTATACAGACAGACACGCGGGTTTCCCCAAAAGTGGGCATGGCTGGAGGGGGGCACATGAAGATTACAGGGGAGCTCTCCCAGCTGAGAATTCACCCTGAAACCAGTGGTGCAAACGGTGCATCTGAAACCTGCAGCTGTTGGGAGGATGGGGAGCCCCTGGAAACACTGTTCTTTACCTGAGTTTGAATCATCAACTTCCCAGCATAGGTTTTTCGGTTAACTGACAGTCACTGTTGTGCATCTTTTAAAGCAAGGGTGAGTCTTGTTATACCTGCAGCTCCTTCTTTGTAAATGCCCTGTAAGCCTGCTGTCAGAAAGCTGGTCGTGGATGAGCAAAAGATGGTTTGCTAAGTGTCTGAGTGTCTGGCAGTGCGTGGTCGCACTAAACTTTAGTGACTAACTTCTTTAGGACTTTCATTGCAGGTTCTTCTGTATCACAAATGAGGTTTATGTTTCCTAAGACTTACCTGCGTTGCTTCTTCTCAAACAACAGAAGAATCTTGATTAAAGCCTCTTGCAAAAGATGGATACTGTGCTGCTGTGCCAGGGCTCCTCCTGCACTGGTGTGCCAGGCATGGCCGAGGAGGCCAAGCCCTGCCAGATGATTGTCTGCCAGATGTTTGCCTGACTGCCTGAGACACTATATTTGCTTGGTGACATCAGTTTCCAGATTGCAGGAAAAGCGTAGATGCAGTCAGGGAGTCCTGCTGTGAGTGGGCTGCGAGTGTCGTGAACGTAAGCAAAAGCCTGATGGCAGCACAGCCAGGGGGACCTCCCTGCTGGCCCGCGTCTTCTGCTCCGTGTCCAGGGCACTGGTCAGCAGAGCTGCGGGTACTGTAGGACCAGTTGTACGTTGGCTGCCTGCTTGGGTAAAAGTCATTCTGTAGATTTAGTGTGCCTCTTAGAGCTGTAAAAAAAGGGGTAATAGTAGTTTAAGAAAGTTTGCATAAATAAAACTCCAGAGTGAA